GATCGCGGCCAAGCATCATCTGGCGCAGGTTCTCTTCGGAAAGACCGTTCGGGTCGAAAGGAGAGGGACCTTGTATAGGCCGAGGCTGCTGCTTAGGGATTCGCGGGGTGGTGGTTGGTTGGTAAAAGTGTTCCGAGGCGGAGATATCGACCTCTTCGGGGTCGGCGTGGACTCGGGGTGCGGAAGTGGAAGTCGGGGCTGGCGATGTTTTGTCATCGCTGGCTGCTGGTGCCGTAGGAGGGGGATCTGAGCAGAAGAGAAGATAAATGTCAGCCTGGTCCATCCATTGCCATCTTGTCATATGGGCGAAGAGGGATAGAGATACATACCTCTTTCAACACCGCCTCCCAATCCTGTGATCCTATTCAGACGGTTTCCGGCATTGGCCCTAATCTTAGCCTCGCGACGCTCCTTGCGAATGCGGGCCTGCTCAAGGGCGCGCGCCTCTGCCGCATCCGCGGGCGAAACTCCCTCTGTCATGGTTTGGTTTTTTTGTCTGTCGTGGTCGTGCTCGACCGTCGCCCTTGTTTCTTTGACTGTTCAGGCGGGTGTACTGAGGTGCAATATTCGTCGTCCCTTCGCTGTTTTGTATGCGTTGCTTGCTCTCAATAGCGCGCGCGCAAAGGAAAATATGTCGGTCTGGAGGATGATGATAGGGAGAAAAGAAATGGACAGATTGAGCTAGAAGCGACAAAGGTGATTGTGACGTCGTGCCCTTCTTCTTCAGTGGACGAACGTGGTCCCTTCCGGGTCACTCTTGCTCGCTGTTGGTCAACTGTTGGGTCAGCTTAAGGGTCTGGGATGCTGGTCCCAAAAGTCCTTATCGGCGCCTTATCGGGAGAGCTACCCCTGCGTGTTGAGTTGACCCCCCTAGAACCCCTTTTTCTCTTGTCATATCGGCGTCTGTCTTGACAGCTTCTTGAATGCAGTGGAGGGTGCTCTAGGCTTTATTTTTTTATTTTTTTTTCGATGTTAAGCTACCGTTTCCTAGCGGTCATATGTAATGTAATGTTTTTATCATGGACCATGTGCCAGTGGGTTCTTTTTTTACTCCTCTATCGACACCCTTCCATCCCATCTATATGAAACCCGTAGTTTGCTAATAAATTTCACCAGGTTATAACATCTCGTCAACTGTACCGTCCAAGTGACCACAATCACAAAACCTTTCCGTTTCCAACTCTGAAATCCACATCATGCTACCAGGTGAGCGGACTCATGCTTGGAGACAGCCGCTCCATAAGACTGTCCAAAGGGCTTTTCTGTCTTCCTTCCCCTCGACCTCCTGAACCTCAACAACTCCAGAATGACGAGGACCATCAGAATGAAACCGAAGAGCATAAAGGGAATGAGGTTGTAGCGCCATCCACGCATGAGTCTCAGCTTCCTTTTAAGTATGTCGTGATCCTCGTCGTGGACAAGTGATAGCTTGTTGACCTGCGCGTACCAGTTCTCTGGTGTCCAGGAGTGCCGCGGGTAGGGATTCGGAGAACTGGTTATCGCCAAGCCCGAGTTGATATTCTGATCCGACTGCATGTTGTGCAGGACATTCGTGTAGATAAGAGCCGTGAGAGTAAGAAGCCAGCTGAGAATTGTGATAAGGGCCCAGAGGTAGTAGAATGGCGATGATTTTCCGTACTGTCACAAGGTTTAGTAGGACGCAAAATGGATAATGATTCCATGGAAATGATGACATACCTTTGCCCTGGACCTATGCTCCAACCACAAAGCTAGGCAACCACCAAACCATACAAGAACGATGGCCGTACCTCCTGCTCCATTTGTCGTATGGCCGTGGTCCGTTAAGAGATGTGCAGGCTCTCCAGGAAGGTTGAACGAATCGAGCCCCCACTTGACATCAAATGGCTGGCCGCCACGTCCATGAAGAAATGCCACCATTGACGAGACAAGGGATAATGAGATGACGGCGTCAATGTAAAGCAAAAACAAAGCCACATAGATGGCTTTCATGAGCATGCTTGAAGCCATCCTGAACGAGTCCCGCTAGGGCTGTGGTGATAGCAGAGCAAGTTGAGAGCGTAAAGAAAGACAAGAAGAGCTGTGGTCTTGATATTGCAAAGTTCAATATGGTTGGAGCTCGTCCACGTTCCCCTCAGATGATGACAACGGCGCAAGCCCATCTTATGTAAGATGCGGACCGACCGGTCGTGCCGGTTCGTCTGTTCTTTCGTTGGGCGGAAAGCGTTCTCTCACCCGCCTCCGCAGACGCGGATTGGGTCCCAGTCCCAAATGTGATGGTTGTCAGCCTGTCCCCCCATGTAAGCACACAAAATAGACACTGCCTCCCCACGATGCGCAGCAAGACTGGCTCGACTAGGGTACGTATTCCTCCTCTTTTCCTGAATGGAGGGATATCATTGCATATCGCCGATAGCCAACGCCACGGGAATCCTTCCATATGAGAACTGCATAGTCTGCATGGAACTGCCACACGGGGATCCATGGAAGCGAGGCACTCAGCACGAGGCTCGGCTGGCGTTGTAATGTTGCAACCCTTTTCGTCGCTATACGCAAGAGCTTGCCTTGTCAGAAATGGGACCCTGTGACGGCATGGACCGACGGATACTATCCGGCTTGGGGAGTTGATTGAGACCGGTTGCAACCATGAGACTGAAAAGAGCCTGTCACTGCTCTGGGATATAGATTGACCGGCTCTCACGGCATATGGAGTTGAAAGCAAACTGCAGCATAGACATCCAGGAAAAAGACCACACTTCTCAACCCTGTGATGATAGTAGCATTGGCCCTGAAACAAGAGAGTCAAAATAGGAAACCTACCTTTCGGCCTTCGTCATCCAGCGTATAAACAGAATTATGCAGAACCTAAAAAGATGCTGAAACACAGTTCGTGAATAAGCAAGCTGACCGGTAACTCGACGAGTCTTCTCCTTTTTCGGAACTTGAGGTAACGAGAGAAAAAGATAATGCAGCACTTGCAACACCTAAAGAGGAATGAGATAACTTCATCAAGGGTAGAACAAAATATGGTCCCCAATGGACGATTAAAACGTTGTGCAACCTGCCATCGCGATGCCAACAATAGTTGTTGGTGGTGTTGTTGAAAAGAGGAGAGAGAGAGCATTTACCTGCCAAGCCACGAGGCTGAATTCCCCAACTTGACCCCGGAAGTCCAAGTCCCATCCATGCCTCAACTCCTAACCCTCCCGTCCTTTTTTACCCACCCCGACAAGTCGGTATTTGCTGTACAAGAATATTAACCAAAGGTTTGTGCATAGACCAAATACGGTGGGGCAGTCGACGTATTGTCGGCCCACATCCCTATCGATAAACGAGTTATCGTAATCGTCCCCAGGGCAGCTTAGCTCCCGTCCCGCTGGTTTACGGGACGAACTTCCAGAAGCTTGTGTCAACACCTTCCCCCCCAACGTCATCGTTCGTCTGAAAATAATCTTTTCACACGACACCAACACATATCACACACAAACACACACACACACACACAATGATTTCAAGGATAACACAACGTATGGCCCTCAAGAGGGCCCTGGCGAGGCCTTCCCCTTGCGCCAAGTCCTCCCGTGCACCCCAGAAGACCCAGAGGAGATCTCTCACATCGGCACCCAGGCCTGGTGATGGTCCGTTGATGGAGAGGCGAGCTGATCGTGAACTTCCGGGTATGTTTTCTCGTCTCGTTTCCTTGTCTTGGGTCGTCTATGTCCCCAATTGACTTGTGACTAACTCCCCTTCTCAACCACAAACAGACGTCCAAACCTCCCGCTTCCGCTGGTCCCGCACCTTCCCCATCTTCTTCGGCATCGTAGCTGCTACCTCGATCGCCATCTTCAACTACCAGAAACTCTCTTCCCCCGTGGTATCCTCAACCCTCTATGCGCTGCGCACCAACCAGCGCGCGCGCGAGTACCTGGGCGACGAGATCTACTTCAAGGCGCAGATCCCCTGGATTTCCGGCGAGATGAACCAGCTGCACGGCCGCATCGACATCAAGTTCAACGTCAAGGGCACCAAGCGCACGGGCGTCATGCGCTTCGCCTCCTTCCGCCCTACGCCCAGGGGCATGTTCGAGACGACCGAGTGGAGTTTGGAGACGGAGGATGGCAAGGTCATTGACCTGCTGGAGGAGGGCGACCCATTCAGGGCTATCAATGGCCGTGGGCCGGAGCCGGATTTGGATGATGATGCGGAGGATGCAAAGATTAGAGGGTTTAGGCAGATGCCCAAGTAATTGTGTACGGGGGGCGTGGAAAGGAAGAAATCTTTTGGAAAGGGAAAGGGCGATATATCTGCAAATGAGGGAATGGAACGGTTCTCTGAGCAACATGAGCCGATGGACTGGGTCGTGGTCCGTCTCTGATTGAATACCCAAGGGCTGTCTAGGAGGGATATGTAAGATATATATAAGCAGGGAACAAACGACCTATCACGGGCAAGGGTTGAATATGTTCAAGATGTTATACATTGTTGTTCGGTAACTGTACATTTTAACACCCCACGATGCGTGTGTATCATACAAGAGAGAACTTGAAAAAAGAGAAACCGAAAGGGCTATACCATACATTCCCTTCCCATAAACCTAGTACAGACACATCCCACTACTGAGACAACCCTTCTCAAGCCGAAGCCTCAACCGCGACCTTGCCATCCGCCTTCTCAGTCAACCCATTCTTGATGAGCGAATCTATCAGGCCCTGTCTCCTCGCCTCCTTGAGCTCCATGTGCAACTTCCTCGCCGCCTGCAACTTCTCCTCCGCATCGGGGAACCGCTCGTTGATGAGCTGCTTGGTAGCCTCGACAAACTCCTCGGGAGGGGGTGCCTTCTTGACGGCATCCTGGACCTTGACAACCGCACCCTTGTGGCCCGCGACCGCGCCCTTGACCACCACGATGCCGAGCTCGTTGTCGACCATCAGCACGGGCAGGTTCTGGACCGTGTGCTGCTGGGCGCCCATGCGACCGGGCATCTTCTTGCCGGGCAACACACGCGAACCGGAGCCCTGCGAACCACCGACGGAACCGATGGTGCGGTGGTTCTTGGAGTTACCGTGCGACGCCTCCTGACCGGAGAAGCCGTGCTTCTTCATACCACCGGCGAATCCCATACCGCGCGTGATGCCCCTGACGTCCACCCGCTGGCCGACGTGGAACCAGTCCGGAAACAGCTGAACACCGACGGGCAGCAGACCGTCCTGGTTGCGCACCTTGAACTCGGCAAGCGTCTGCTTGGGCGGGATGCCCTTGGCCTCGTAGTAGCCGAGCTGCGGG